CATCAGGGAGATGAAGCGATCCGGTTGGAAAATAAACTGGCCCATGTTCTTTTTTCACAGATTTTGGAGGTAAGAAAATGATGTAGAAAATGTTTTATGTTTTGATAACATATCGGTCTTTAGACTGATAGAAAAGCTCTAAATTCTCCTTTTATCTCCCTGACTTTAATGTCTATTATGAGACTGAAAATCTTAAAATGTTCCTTTTTTCTTCCTAACATTAATTTCCTTTGTGAGACTGAACTTAAAAAAACAACTGAACACCTAAATTCTACTTTTTTCCTTACATTAATATCTGTTGTGAAAATGAATTACAAATCTAAAAATTCTTCTTTTCCCCCTGACATTAATATCTATTGTGAGACTGAATTTTTTTTTTAAAGTCTTATTTTTTCCCATGATGTTAATATCTGTAGTGAGACGGAATTAAAAAGAAATAAAATTCTGATTTTTCCCCCCTGACACGATGGATAGCTCACAGTTCCTTTCATTTTACCCTCTTTGTTTTAGTTTTTGTATACATATTCATTTTTTTGTCAATGGCATGATCAGTGGTTCAGTGAAGGGCCTTGCCATTGCTCATAATATGGCCTGAGTTTGATTCCCATGTGGGGGGGAAATTTTTATCGAGTACCTTTTTTTTTCAGTTGTAACCTTCTCAGTCCCCAGACTGGCCCTTACAGGCAGGTTTGAAGCCCACCTCTAATATGATCCAACTCTTGTTGATGGGGGTGTAGAGAGCCCTGGTGTGGTTTGCTCCTTCTTTCCTATCGAAGATCTGTCTTCCTCATCTCTCTTCTTTCTTTGCTTTGTCTGTTAGTCTCTAATAGCACCTCTATGTATGGTTGGAAGGTGCCACTGGTAGGTCCTACTTCTTTTCTTTTCCTTGTTGTTTCTGTATTCTGTCTTGGTTTTTTCCTGAAGTATAGGACCGTTATTGTGACTATATGCTTCTCTTTACTCAATTACAAAACTCAACACCTCTAATCCTCGGCTCTTAAATGACCTAATTGTGTAGTAAGTGCTTTAAAGTTCTAACTGGATGGTTGGGGGCGGGGGGGTGCCTTCTTTCCTATCAAATAAACATCTATTGTTCTTATCTCTCCTCCTTCTTTTTGGTATTTGTTATTCTCTAGTAACACTTCTAATCATCAGCATTATTTATATGACCATATCATGCTGCAAGTGCTGTAAAACGCACACTAAAGCATAAAACTCTTACTGAAACTAAATGTGAGGCATCGTGGTAAATTCGGGCGTTCGTCAAAATGATAAGATTGAAAAAAAAAATGTTTCCACCAGATTGGCAAGTTTTATTGAATTATTTTTTCTCAACACCTTTTATGTCCATATCAAAACACATTTTCATGTGAATTTGACTGAAAATGTTGGTTAAAGGCATATAATATGTAATCTTTTAGTTTTGAGTGACTCTCAGGCTATTGAAGTTACCGAACTTTGGCGGTCATTTTCTCACTAGTTTAATTACTGAAACGAAGCAACCCCATCTCCTTCAATCGCAAATATCTTGACATCTCTTCAAGATAGATGGCTATTGTTTTCATTGAAAGCAAGGCAAATTAGTAAGCTTTTAGATAATACCAATAACTTTATACGACCAAAAATTGACAAGCGCCTGATTCCACCGCATCATGACAAATCGAAAAAGAAAATTTAAAATAAGAATAATTTTGTGGGTGGTTGGTGGGTCAGGTGCTCTGGTGTGGTTTGGTCCTTCTTTCCTATCGAACATCTATCGTCCTAATCTCTCCTCCTTCTATTTTATGTTTGTTACTCTCTTGCAACACATCTAATCTTTGGCAGTTATATGACCTTATTGTGGTGCAAGTGCCGTAAAACTCTTACTAAAACTAACTTTCTAGTCTTTGGCGCTTATATGACCTTATTGTGTTTGCAAGTGCCGTTAAAACTTACTAAAAAAAAAGAAAGAAAGAAAAGAATAATTCTTGTCCTTGGCCAGGCTGACTCCTCCATACATGCTGACGTTGCTGCTGGTTCTGGGCTTGCAGAGGTTCATGGGGTCCGGTGCACTGTGGACCACCTCGCAGCCTGCAGACAAAGCCTTCTGTGAGAAAAACTGGTGGACCAATCTCCTCTATGTCAACAACATCGTCAATCAAAAAGAAGCAGTAAGATTGTGTTTTCATTTCTTTTTTATGTTTAAAAGATGTTTTTTTTTAATGTATTTTTTGGGGGGGAGGGGTTAGTGGGCTATTTTGGTCGGGGGGGGGGTTGGTTTTTTTTTTTTTTTATTTTTGTATGTTTTTTAAAATTGTTTTCTTGTTTAATTGCTTAATAACTTGGATTGAGTGAAGTTAGCTTCTCAACTGTTATGATTCTGGTATAATAAAGGAAAGGTATGGGATTTGGCTCCCTTTTCTGGTTGTTTGGTTGGTGCTCTGATGTAATTTACCCCTTCTTTCTTATGAAACGTCTGTCATCCTTTTCTCTCCCTCTTTTATTTGTATGCCACTCTCTAGTAACATCTCTGATCTTCAGCACTTATTAATGATGCGAGCTGAGAAAATGAGTTACTACTCGCATCGGTCAAAAATTGACATAGGGGTCAAATTTGTAGATTTTCATGTACTGCCATTTTCTTCAAGTTGAACTTGTCGTAATCCTTTCATGCTAAAAAAAATGGTGCAACACTGTAAATCTGATGTATATCTGGCGTCGGTGGCCTAGTGGTGAGGATCTCGGACTCGCAACCGTAAGGTCGTGGGTTCGAATTCCGTCAAGGGCCCGACATTGTGTCCTTGGGAAAGGCACTTAACACGAATTTTCCTCACTTCACCCAGGTGGGAATGGGTACCCGGCTAGCTAGCTATAGACAGCGAAAGATCTTGTCAGTTTGTTAGTGTTTGAGCGCTTAATCGGCTGCTTGCACTGTATGCTTCCCGGGAAGCTGAGAATGTTTCGGAGTGTTCTATGGTCTGCTGGGGTAATAATATAGTGTAAAGCGCATAGAGCATGCTGCTGAGCGGGGATGTGCGCTATACAAATGCTATCTATTATTATTTATTATTAGGGCTAACTTACTCTGTCAGCCTGCTTCAGGTATGACCTGTTTCTGTTACAAGTTCAGTAAACCTGCTATGAAAATGAAACATTTTTGTCGAGTAAGTCGGTCTTTCTGCTGGTAAGTTGTATCCCTCTCAGCCCGTGTTGGGCCTAAAGGCAGGGTCGGAGGCCTGCCAACTAAATCTGTCCCCGTCTTTTTATGCAAGAAAAATTCTGAAATTATGCAAACTGAGCCCAAAAATGTGAAATTATGCCATTCTGTTAATTTTAACAAAGAATGATAAAGGAAAATAATCAGAAATTATGCAAAAAATAATCAAATTTTGCTAAATTATGCGGGGGCAGGGTGCATAAAACCACAGGGACAGCTGAATGATCTAAATTGTGTTGATGGGTACATTTTAAAAAAGAGAAAGAAGAGCTTTGAACTAGCAAACAAACAGATTGTAACTCGCAGGGCATGGCCGTGAGACTTATGTAGTTTTCCTTCTCTCCCCAGTGCTTTGCCCATACCTGGTATCTGGCGAATGATATGCAGTTTTTTATTCTGAGTCCTCTGATGCTGATACCGTTCTACTTGTAAGTTTTGCAGGGAAAATCGTTGACATTGTAATTATAGTGTCACTGTGTGTGTGTGTGTGTGTGTGTGTGTGTTTATGTGTGTGTGTGTGTGTGTGTGTGTGTGTGTGTTTGTATGTGTGTGTGTGTGTGCCTGTGTATTATGTATGTGCGTCTTTGTGTAAGTATGTGTCTGTATTTATGTTTGTCTGTGTATTTGTGTGTAACCCTCTCAGTCAGATATATATTGTCTGTCTGCATGTGTGTGTGTCTGTATCTATGTGTCTGTGTCTATGTGTCTGTTGCATATATGTGTGTTTGTATATGTGTGTCTGTGTGTTAGTGGTGGGCATATCGAAATCGAAATATGTGTGTGTGCGTGCATGTGTTGTTCCTCTGTTGGCCCATACAGCTTAGAATCTCCTAGGTGGGTGGTTGGTGGGTGCCCTGGTGTGGTTTGCTTCTTCTTTCCTATCAAACTTCTATCGTCCTTATCTCTCCTCCTTCTTTTTTGTGTTTGTTACTCTCTTGTAACACCTCTAATCTTCGGCACTTATATAACCTTATTGTGTTGCAAGTTCGAGGGCGCCACTGGTAGATCCTACTGTTTCTGTGTGTCTGTCTTACTTTTTCCTGGCACTTCTTTTCGTGCTTCTCTTTACTTAAACAAATTTGAGACATTGTGGTGAAATCAGGTGTTCGTAAAAATCATGAAATTGATCAAACGGGCGTTTTCCTGCTTCTTGGGTAATTTTAATAGAATTTTTTCCCCCTGGCTCCACACCTTTTATGTCCATTAGAAATACACATTTCTGTTTGGATTTTACTGATTACCGTTGATTGAAGGCGCGAAAAAATGTAAATTTGTATTTTCCTAAAACTTTAGAGCTTTGGAAGTCACCAAACTTTGGTATCCATTATCTTGCTAATTTTTCCTCAGAAACCAGGCACCCCCACCTCGATCAATCGCAAATATCTTTACTTCTTTCTGAGATGAATGGATATTTTTTTTCATGGAAAGCAAGATAACTGAAAAAGCTTTAAGATGCTACCAGTAACTCTATATGCCCAAAAATTGACAAGCTGTGCCTGATTCCGTCCCGTAGGCACACAAATAAACAAACAAATTTAGTTAATAATAAGTCTATTATGTCAAGCGTATCTATTTCCTGGGGCACTGTGTCCAGCTCAGCTGGGGCTCGTGTTTACAGGCATGACCAAAGCAGCCTGTTTTGTGTGTGTTCTTAATTGTGTGAGTGGGTGGTGGGTGCTTTGGTGTGGTTTGCTCCTTTTTTCCTATCCATCATCCATCGTCCTTATCTCTCCTCCTTTTTGTATGTTTGTTACTCTAATCCTCGGCACACATATGACCTAATTGTGTCATGGTGGATGGTAGGTGGGTGCTCTCGTGTGGTTTGCTTCTTCCTTCCTACCAAACATCTATCGTCTTTATCTCCCCTCCTTTTTTTGTGTTTGTTACTCTCTTGTAACACCTCTAATCTTCGGCACTTATGTGACCTTATTGTGTTGCAAATGCCATAAAACTCTTATTCAAAAAAATTTTTAAATTGTGTCATGTTGCAAGTGCCGTAAAACTCCTACTAAAACTAAACTAAACAAACATTGATTTGTTGATGTAGTTTTTTTTTCACTCTACTCAAACTCTCCTCCCCAGCCATGCCTATGCTGGTTTAGCTGCCAGCTTGGTTATCCTCCTCATCAGCTGGATCACCACGGGGGTCTTGTCCACGCAGCATGAATGGAAAGCGAACTTTATTGATGCCTTCAATGGGGCTAGCAACATTACGTAAGAGGTCCCTTATATTCTAGTTCATTTTTATGCGTCAGTATGATATTTAACACTTTCCGTACACATACAATTCCACAATTTAACACACCCAGCGGCGAAAGACATTATCTTAATACGGCTATAATTTGGTCAAATCTTGATCGATTTGTGTGAGCACTCAAACTATTCATAATTGGACAAAGGGTCACACACAATATGGGTGAAATGCAGCAGAGGCTCAGGTGTAGATTCTTCTTCTTCTTCTTCTTCTTCTTCTATCCGGTGGTTGGGGCAACCGTTGGGGACCACTGCATTGGAAAACCAGCTTTCGCCATCTATTTTTGTCCTCTGCTCTCCTCAGATTCTCACCCATCGTCTTTCCTGTCCACTCTGTAATGTTGTCCTCCCATCTCCTTCTCTGCCTTCCTCTCTTTCTCTTTCCTTGTAAGGTTCCTTGCAGGATTGTTTTGCCAAGTCCTGTGGATCTTGTGACATGCCCATACCATTTTGGGGTTGTAGAAATGGGTACCCTAAAACGCCACTTAAATGGTGAGCTGATGAAACGCGGAACCAAAAACGCTGCATAAGTGCTGAACTGGATTCAAGGAGTTGAAAGAATTGCTTACCCCATACATTCTATAAATACAGCTGCTGTCATCATCTGACATCACTAAATTAAGAATACACAATTTGAATTCCAAGTCATTTGCTGAGAGATCTTGTGCATGGTGCTGAAACCTGGAACGCCCCCCCCCCCCCCCCCCCCCAAAGAAGAGACAAACAATACTGTCTTTTAAAGCCCATTAATTGTAAACGTATATTTTTAGCTTGTGAATGTCATTTTTTTTTCCCTTCATGGAAAGCATTTTTTTTGCACTTCATGGAAAGCATTTTTTTGTATCGGTGTACTGACCAGTGTAGATGATTGAACAGCACTTGGGGCTATTGCCTAACAGGATAGAGCACTGTATATAAATGCTATTTATTGTTACTGTTATTTTGACAGTTGGCTTGCTTTTAGTGGGTGTTTGGAGGAGCTATTGATTAGAGGACCGTTTATCTGTATCCCTCTCACCTCCAGTAAACTGTGGCAGAAGTGTTGGAAGCAACCCACCTACTTATTGTTTTTAATGTGTGTTGATGATGGTGTAAAATGTTTACCATCAAATTATAGGCCTTATAATTTTGAATCAAATGAGTAATTAATTACTTTTTGTATCTCTTTTTTCAATAGTGACAATCCTTTGGAAGGATTCTACGATTACTATGAAGTACCTTGGTGTCGCATTGGCCCATTTATTATTGGGATCCTTGCTGGCTATTTACTGGCTGTAAACCATGGAAAGATTCGTATGAATAAGGTATGGAAATAATATACATTTGAAAAAGATCTTTGGAAATTGTTTTGAGCATGCTGTAAGTTATATGTTTGATACTTATGAGCAAAAATTATTGCTTATTAAAATAAGTTATAATGCGAAAGATTGTTACGTCGAAATAATACATTTGAAAATGCCCTTTGGAATTTAGCATACCATAAGTTCTATGTCTGATACTTACGAACAAAAATTAAGTTTAAAATACGAAAGATCATCTACATTTTTATACATCTTTATTTTCCTATTTCGAAGAGCTTGGTCCTATATTTCTCGGTATACAAGTCACTCTGTGCCTGTTGGCGAAACTTGTTTAACATGTGTTAAATCTTTATCTCCGAAGGGGGTAAACCCACTATTCCATGACATGAAATCTAAGATTGACATGTACGTCACAAAATTGGTCGTTTATTCAGAACAAGTAAACCTATTTTGAGGTAAAAGTTTTTTGACGTTGAAGTAGTGGTAAAGGAATGTACCCTGGGCATTGCCAGTGGCTCACCAGCACAGTTTTTTCAAGGAGTTAAGATTTTGTTGTTGTTTGAATTGTTCTGTCTAATAATACCCCCAATTTTAGTTAATCATCTATGTGACTTTGATGGAGAAAGGAATTAGAAAGTGATCTTTAGTGTTTCATGAGTGCCATAAAGAGCAGTAAGATAAAACTTACCCACTCTACTGCTTTTTTGCGTGTTATTTTCTTTTTTTACACGATGCAAAGGAATAGTTACAGAAAAAGCTGTATTCAATTTTACAAATGACATTTCTTATTTTTTTTCATCTCATGGATGTGATTTTAACGTTTGCACTACATCTTTCTAGACACAATCTCCACACACAAAACTCAGACACACAGACACACACACAGACACACAGACACCCACACCCACACGCACAAACACACACACAAACACACACACACCCCCACACACCCACCCCCCCACACACACACGCACTCACACTCACAAAAATGCACATAAATTAAATATAAGCATACATTGGCTGATTTCTTCTCTCTGTTCCCCCCCCCCCCCCCCCTTTCAGTATGTGAACTTGTTTGGATGGGCCATTGCAGTAGCTATGGGTCTAGTCATTGTGTATGGACTGGACGGAGACATCAGCGGGAGAGCCCCTCTCTCTGTGGGTGAGGCGGCTTTCTACAACACGTGCGCTCGCTCGGCGTGGGGTGCCTGTGTGTGCTGGGTTATCATCTCTTGTGCGAGTGGATATGGAGGTACGTATTCGCTAAAGTTTTAAAATCTTAAAACAGTATAACACGAATAGTTCAACGGGACCGGCCTCAGTTGGTCAAGGGATCCGTACTTTTTTCTAGTAGAGGGTTTTACGGCGCTCGCAACTGTATAAGGTCATATGAGCGCCAAGGGATCCGTAGTTGGAGGGATATTTTACAAAGATAAAAAAGAAAAAAAAACGCGGGACAGCAAGCACAGTTCGACGGTTGCATGATTTCGACGAGTCTTCTGTGTTCGAACTAGTCCTGTTATTCTGTATGTGTTGTGGCGTGGTGCAATCAGGCGCTCTTAAATTGTAGGGCATGTGAAGTTATTGGTATCATCTTAAAGCTTTTTAATTTGTTCTACATTTGATGGAAAAAAATTGCCCATCTCTTCTTGAACAGAAGTTGAGATATTTGTGATTGATGGAGGTGGGGGGTTACCTTTGCCTCAGAGGTAAAATTAACTAGAAAATGGCTGCCAAAGTTGGTTTGATTTCCTAAACTTGAGAGTCCTTAGAAAATGAAAATGTACATTTTATGTGCATCAACATTTTTCAATAAAATCCACACATAACTGTGTCTTTAATTAATTGACATAATTGGTGTTGAGCCAAAAAGAAAAAAAATCAAGTTTTTTATTTTTTATTTTAATATTTTAATGAGCGCTTCATTTCACCACAATGCTTCACAAACATTAGATATTGTCTTATGTCCCTGATAACAAAGGCTAATGAAAGCACATACAGTTGAGCTTGGTCAGCTCAAGCAGTTTGCGAGATTGACAAATTTGGTTTACACAATCATAATTCAGGAAAACTGATATTGCGAAAAAATAGATATCAGTCTGGGAATAGCAATTGTACAAGCTATCCATAATATGTAGTTTTCCACGTCCATGTCATCTGTACCCAACTTTATCTTAATTAAACTAATCTCTCAGTAGTTGGTATGTTTGTTCACTCAATGCATTACGTGAAGGGGTGGGGGCGTTCATTAGAAATAGCTTTTTGCCTGTGCTTAACTCTATCCATCTGATCTTCAATCTTTTCAGCACATTTTGATGGGTAATGAGTTCATGTTTGTAGCTTGATACCTTTCTTTTTCTTGTTGAAAATGCTAATGTTTACATATTGTAAACTCAACTTTGCTTACAACTTGTAAGAGTTAAACATTCCCATTAAAAAGACCCAGTCACATTTGGAATATTTTTTATGGCTGGTAAATCTTTCATTACCTCAGAAACATTGAGCAATAGATGACTGGGCACTTCGGCACTTATTTTGACCTTCTGTTTGTGTTGCCAGTGCTGTTAAACTCTTATTAAAAGTAAAACTGAACTAAAGAGAAGGAAAGAAAAGAGAGATGATGAGTTCAGACAAAAATTATGTGTACATTTGTGTCTTTCTCCAGGATTTGTGAACACCATTCTGTCCTGGTCTCCCTTTGTGACCCTGGGCCGTCTGTCCTACATGGCTTACCTGATACACCCCAGCGTCATCTCCGTCTACTTTGGCAATATGGACCAGCTTTTCTATGTCAACGATCTCAATATAGTGAGTGCACGCCTGTGTGGTCATCTTCTCTGAAATTATCATCAGCAAGAGGATGAGGGGGGGGGGGGGGGTGAAGGAGCTATTTGCCCAAGGGTGAGGTGAGGGGGGTGAATTACATGAGGAAAAACAATTTAAAAAAAGAAAAAAAAAAAGGAAACTGAAGCTGGTGTGGATTGAGGCAAATACCCTACCAATTAAGCTACTGGTCTCCATCCCCCTTCTTCCTCCCCTCTCCCACCCTATTGAGTGCAATGACTGTAAATGCTTTAGACCCCCTTTCAACTCAATTTAGGTCACTAGGGAGGTGGGCTACTTCGACCCTACCTGTCAAAGCCAAATGGGCAGAATTGGTAACAGTATCTCTACAGAAAGCCAGAGATACTAGATAAAGCAGATTTCCGCACATGGGGATTAACCACTCATCTTCATTGCACAACAATGAAGAGCCTTACCATTACATCACAGAGGACAGTCCTGGAGTGCACTTCCGGCCTAGGCTTTAGAAAGGAATGTTTCATAATGACAATAAGAATGATTACATTTATGTTACACATATCCACTCTCTACAAGATGCTCTATTACCCCAGCAGACCCTTGAATATGACTCAGAAACATTCTCAGCTTCCTGATAAACCTACAGTGCGAAATGTGGATTACACGAGCTAAAGCACTAGCAAATTGACAAGATCTTTCACTCTCAATAGATGGGTTCCCATTCCCACCCGGAAGATGGTAGGAAAATCCATGTAAAGTGCTTTTCCCAAAGACACAAAGTCGGGCCCACATGAGATTCGAGCCTATGACCTTATGGTTGAGAGTCAGAGAGCATAAGCAATAGGCCACGGACTCCAAATGGTGTAGTTGTTTGTTACCTGACTGGTTTTGTCGTACTTTTTCTTCTCAGGCGGTGACGTTCATGGGCATCGTCTTCATGACCTACATGGTTTCCTTTGTACTGATGCTGGGTCTGGAATCTCCGATGATTGGCCTCGAGAGAAAATTCCTGCGTCGAAGAAGCGACTGATGGCATTCATCATCTTTGAAGGCCGCCATCTAGTGAATGAGGGGTCTGCATCTTTGTCTATTACCTTCATCTCACATCAGTCCACAGTAGAGGGTTAGAGGAGGCTATCACCGTTAGGTCGTACTTTGTTTCTTTTCCTGTTTTTAATTTTTCATGCCCTGGTCTTAATTTGCTTTTTCCTCGTGCGAAATGACTGTTATCATGTTGTGCTTCTCCTTACTCAATCCAAACCAAGCATGAGTCCTGCTCGTCTCTGGTTGATGTCACATGTATTTTATGATACGTGTGGTCATTGGACAAAAGATGTCAGAACAAGCGGAGTGACCTATTTTTGAGGTACGAGCAAGAAACCTAGGTCAAGGTGGATGGGGGCGGCGATATTAACCCTTTCCCCACCAGCATATTTCGTACCTCATTCCTACCGGCTGGGTGGATCACACCCGTACACATTTAAATATAAGGAAATACTGGCTGAATGATTCAAACCTGTATACTTAAATATGCAGGGCGGTGCAGACAAATGCATTCGGCATTATTTTTGTTTTAGAAGGCGTTTTACAAAAATTGCAACACAATTAGGGCATAAGTGTTAAAGATTAGAGGTGTCAGAAAAGAGTAACAAATACAAAAGAGAAGGAGAGGTAAAGACGGGTTAATGAGGCTGACACAGACTAAGATGCCAACAAATGCTCAGTCATTGTCTGGTTAAAGTTTGTTGTAATGCCACTTAAAAATTGTCAACATTTACTTTTGATTTTGGATCTAAGAAAAGTTTTATTCTGAGAATTTGATAGGAAAAATGGAAGAAAAAAACAGGTGAAAATCTTAAATTGCTATTTTTCTGTTTTCCAGCTTTGCATCTTAATATTGTATGTGTGAAGATTTAGTGAGGATTATTTTTTGTTAATTCTCAAAAAGGACAATGATCAGGAAATTATTATCGAATGTTATTCTGTCAAAGATAAGAATCATGGAAATAGACTAATGTGATGTGTTTCTTCTCACCATCTCTCATTTTGGTGCAAAAGTAAGGAGTTGTGGACATTCAACAAAGATGAAACAAAAACTGACCACAATTTCTGGATGCTGGTGCATGAATACAGTTGATTGAGGTAAAGGGATAAAGTCCCTCTTGACTTGCTTTGTACAATACATAATTGCATGACAAAATTATCCTCTTTGGTATAAAGCAATACATTCCAATGTAATAACTTAACCCTTTGAACTCAAATTCCTGCTTTAGCGGCACAACTCTTAATTTTCGTGTATCCCTAGATCCCGCTGTAGAGGAATTGGCAACTCCTTTTTCCTGTTTATGCACTTTTTTTCCTGTTCAATGAGAATAAAATAAGCTATTCCGTGCGAGATTGAAGCAGGAAGAAACTGAGAGCTTTTGTCATGAAATTTGAAGGAAAAAAGGGGGTTTGGGGAAATGTTTGTGAAGTGTTTGATGAACTGGTCGGTCCCGGCCATCAACGTCACGGATAGGTGCTGGGGTTCAGGGGTCACAGTAGGTTCAGGAGCTCAAGGTTCAAAGGGTTAAGTATTTATATTGGTACTGGGTCGTGTTTAGTGGTGATGGTAAGATGAGAATTTTCTTTGTTCTTTTGTTGTTGAGAAAATGTTTCTTTTTGGAGAGATAAGCAACAATACAAAATGAACAAATATTAAGATTGGATGGAAAAGTTTTGAGCTTATAATTAGAGTAAAAAATCATGAATATAATTTACATCTGGCAAGTTGACTTCTAGACTTGATTCTGTTGTTGTCATAATATGCCACATTCCTGCCTACGATCAAGACTATAGCTTGTACAGTTCTGACTCAATAGAAGTATTTTGCCCTGCGGTGTTTTTGGAGCTTGATGTAAATATATATTCGTGTTAATACTTATGCAGGTATTCTTAAACTCCTTATTTGGAGAGTATGATGTGTCCATTCGTATGAACATCGGCTCTTTTTCTATGCATGAAAAATAAGTATTCATTATGCCACTCATCTCTTGCTGCCATGAATGCGCTGATCTGTTTCTTTTTTCTTTTCCTCTCTTTATTTTGTTTTGGGTTTTTTGTTTGTTTCTCTCTCACAAGGGTGGTTGGAGGGTGCCACTGGGCCAGTCTGTTTTATTTTTTCCTAGCCCTACCTGACCACTATTGTGTTAATGTGCTACTCTTTACTCAAACAAATGAACATCTTGGTTCCACTCAGTAATAATAATAATAGCTTTTATGTTGCGCATTTCCATTTGATAAAAAATGGTCAATGCACATTACATTAATAAAGATATCATGCCTTAAGAATTAATGGACATGTGTGTACATAAAGCATAGTATTAGGCATATATTATATGCATGTATTATGTATAAAAGTTGAGAAAAATAGTCACTCAATAGTAGAACACACACGACTGCAGCAAAACAATAGGGTCAACCTCTAAGCAGTAAAGTTACAAAAGCTAAGTTCACTTGTTCAGTCTGTTGTACACTGCCTCTCCAGGTCAGTTATTAATTTGTAAATTTCATCTTGAGATCTCATCATACAGGGAATATATTATTTTTTTCTAATGGCGCAAGTACACTTTATACTTTATATAGCACCATATATATTTTTAAATTTTTTTTTCCGATGTAAAAGTTGTCATGCTTGCTTTTGTTCAAGGGGAGGGGAGGAGACTGAGGTATAGTCCGTTTGGTTATTTAAACGGTGGCAGTTCCCGTGCTTTGCTGAAGACCAATATTTTTCTGTTTGCGGATGTAAGGGAAGATTTCGTTTGTCTCTACTGCACACTGACCCTGATCATCCTGTGAAGCAAACATCGCCAATGCTGTCTTTAACTTATATGTGATTACTTAGTAGTGCCAACAGGAATGTTTACATAAAATTTTTTAATGTTGAAAGGGCATTGCACCCAAGCCTACAACTTGCCCTGTGGTGGAGCGTGCTGACGGAGTGACATACTTTTCAGATTTCAGCCTCTTGGAACTGGCGTCTGGACTGGCGTCTGGGGTGCAGTGGTGAGGTACTTTGCTGTCGCACACAGCAGGCCCGAGTTCAATTCCCGAGCCTGCTAAGTAATTTAAATCATGTTGATGGGGAAGTAAAAATGCCTACATTAAGAAGCAAAGTAAAAAAGCCCTGTGGATGTAGATAAATCAAATTTATAGGTTGAATTTTTACAATTTATTCACATGAAATGATAAAAGATAAAGAAGCTGGCATCAGTTTAAAATCTACAAATATGACCCACTCAGTTGCCATGAGGCAGATACATTTACCCCCATTAGTGCATTGTGAGAAGTAACTCCTTTTTTCAGCACACCTTCCAATTCTCACGGAACCGTATCTTATGGTGCTTCTTTAGAGTGAGAGGTAATCTATATTCACACTCTTGACTTAATGGTGAACAAGCTGTGTAATTGTATTCCTGATAATGTCAGCCCACAAAGCAATATTTTTCAGATGAGAGAAAAGTCTTTCCGTATTACTGATAATGTCAGCCCACAAAGCAATATTTTTCAGGTGAGAGAAAAGTCTTTCCATCTTTAACACTTTGCAGTCACTTTGGGCAATAATGTGCCGCTGAAAATTATCCCAAGAAGTGGGTTGCAGTCGCTCTCCTGGTTGGGTGACCAGCTGGGGTATTTTGTTCTGCTGGCTGTGTGGCTGCAAAGTGTTAAAAAGTTATGCTCATTTTATATATTTCATCTTTCTTTTTTCTAAAAAGTTATGCTCATTTTATATATTTCATCTTTCTTTTTTCTAAAAAGTTATGCTCATTTTATATATTTCATCTTTCTTTTTTCTCAACCTTTGCAGTTTGAATTTGAACACAATATTTCTTGAGCATATGCAACCAACACCACTGATCAAGAAATTGCAATAAAACTGTAAAAAAAATTTTGGGCATTGTACGTTTGCAGAGCTGGCCAAAGAAATATTCATTTGTTTTGAGCTTATTGTACTTTATTTTTCTGCCAGCCTAGTAGTTTGCTGCAAATTTTACTGAGATTAACGTGAATGGTTTCCACTTGTGAGGCAGCATGGTGAAATTAGGCTCTCGTCAAAAAAATGAAATTGAAGAAAATGGCATTGTTCTTCCTGTTTGGCAATTTCTGTCAAATTTGACAAATGTTCTTTTTTTTACTCAATACCTTTCATCTTCACTTAAAAACAATTTGCTGTGAGGCTTTTACTGAAAAATGCTGATTAAAGGCACAAAAATGTAAACCTACAGTTTCTAAGGACTCTCAAGCTTTGGAAGTCATCAAGCTTTGGGGGCCATTTTCTCTCTCATTTTACCTCTGAAATCAGGTGACTTCATCCACCTTCAATCCAAAAGATCTAGACTTTTGTTAAATATACATGGGATGATATTTTCATCGAAAGCAAGACAAATGAACAAGCTTTAAGTTTAAGATAATACCAAGACAAATGAACAAGCTTTAAGTTTAAGTTTAAGATAATACCAATAGCTTTATATGCCAAAAAATTGACGAGCGCCTGATTCCACCGCATCATGACATTCATACTTGTTTATGTCACACCATGGCTCAGTGCTCGCGGCCAAAAGTACATGTAGTTGTGACTGTGAGACTGACTTTGGTTCTACCTGTTGAGGTACAGGATCTCCTGGTGCCACCCAGTAGTTGTCCATGTTACACAGCTCATGTTCTTTGGTGTTAAGGTTTTCTGTATTCTTGTATTCCCATGTGTGATATTCAGGACATTTTATCATAAAGTATTTGTAAACTGTCTCTGATTCAATAGTGTGTACCCTCAAGACGGTGTTGCCTAATGGAATTTTTTCTATAACTTTTTATATAAATATTTCTAAATTTCATATGGACCGGTTTGGAGTGTGCCATCAGCTTTTAATGTGCCATAGAAACTGTAATATTTAGATGCTTGTATTTTTATGTTTTGAGAGATTTGTTGCCATGCTCATAATTTCTGTGTGCTCAGTTGATTCCTTTTTACATATTCTGTGTTGTGAATCATTGATGATATCTTTGAATGCTAGAAGCTGAAGCCAAGTAAACAATGCAAGCCATATATTTCTGTTGATAGCTTTGGTAAATCAAGTTGAGCTTTGAAGACTTAGATAGTTATATCAAGCCTTTTTGTACTTTTTGGGGGGTAAAAATGTAGTTGTAATGATTTCCACCAATTGACGCTATTTAGACCTTTTGGCTTTTGGGAAACAGGCTGCTTTGAACCTGCCTATCGGGGCCAACCCACACTGAGAGGGATAATGATAACAATAATAATGGTAATAATAATAATAATAATAATAAATAGCATTTGTACAGCGCATATCCCTGCTCAACAGCAAGCTCTATGCGCTTTGTAAAATTTATTACCCCAGCAGACCGTAGAACACTCAGAAACATTTTCAGCTTCCTTGGAAGTATACAGTGCAAGCAGCTCATTAAGCGCTCAAACCCTAAAAAACTGACAAGATCTTTCGTAGATCCTGAGATACAACATCCCAGCAGATAGAAGGGGGTTCTTCTTCTTAAAAAAAAACCAACCTCCCCTCATAATTGAATTATACTCACATCTACTGCGAGTGATATCGGAATGCCTGACCGCTACACCGTAGATCCCGGTGTAGTTCGTGTTGTTGGTTCTTAGGTTGATTCTGTTTGTGTGAAGTTTTTGAATCGTGTTTGAAATGTGACATTTTTTGCGTGGACTCTCGACAGACTCCAATTCACCTCAACTGCAATGTATAAAAATTCACACTCCATTTATTTGGATTTTTTTGATGGTTTTGCTTATTTGACTGTTTTAGTCTTTTTTAGTTTCTTACTTTAACTATTAGAAAGCACAATGGGAACCGTTCATTATTTTTATTACAGGGATGCCAAATCTCAGGTTTTTCAGACTTTCAGTTTTTTGGGTTTTTTTTCAAAAATCATTTGGCATCCCTGAAGAAGAAGGCCACTGACATAAGGTCCTTCTTCTCAAGACAGATATATAATATTACTGGAATTGGTGAAACAAAGTCCGCCCCGTACCCTTGCAAAAGAAAGGGGAGAGGTAAGAGAGATGTTTTTGTGTGCTCATTTAAAAGCTTTACAATGTTTGTTTTAGGTGCGATGTGATGCTCCACTCATTTTCAGTTGGTTTTTTTTCAAAAATCGTTTTAGCCTCCCTGTTATTAAGACGAAACAGTTTAGTTGTAGGTTCAAACTCTTTCACGTGAAAATACGGACAAATATTATTGGTCCTGAAGTGTTCGATTTTTTAAATGATTCTTAAAAAAAAAAAAAAGTCATATTATATATTCTATTCTTCTTTACCGGCATCTGCAGTGTAAAGGTTGAGGGTTTGAATTTGCTGGAATGTTTTTGTTTGCATCATAAAATGACTAATAATTTAAATGCATACTGTGTTTGTATTAACGGATAAACATATTGAATTTTGTAGATTTACCGAACTTGCCGTTATTTAAATTTGTATGTCATTTCACACACAATTTTTACATTGTAATATCTGCTTTATTTACCTTGGTTTGTTTTTTGTTTTTTTTAACTTTAAGCACAAATTTAATTTTGTGACATTAAGTGTGTATCCAAGGTTTACTATGCTCACTCATGACTGAAATGTACATCATGCATTTTGCGTTTTTGAGATTGAAAACACAAATGCAGCCACTGAACAGCTATTTTTTTTTCTTTTCTATTTTGTTTCCACCTTTTTAATTTCAATGTCCTGTCCAGCTTCACGTATATATGGATAGAAGCTTTTTTGTTTTCTTTATGCTTTGTGAGAGACTGCAGAAAGAGCTCATAAGCCATGATAAGGAAAGGTGTTTGTGTGTTTGAGTTTTCTGAAGTTTGCTAACATTCCCCAGGGCAGGATAACCGGTTCTATATAGTGCTATTTAAAATTACCTTTTTCTTCCACTTTCTTTTTGTACCAATTTTTTGGTGTAATGTGCCAAAGACTATCTTCAGAGGAGTTTTGTCATATCATTTAACATAAATTCAGTTCCATTTTCGTCTGAAGAATCCAGGGGAGGAACCTGGCTAGTCACAATTATTTTCAAAACAAGTTTTTTTCTCCTGTTGTAGTCTACTTTAAAAATTGAACTTTCTTCTTAGCAAAATAACCCTCAGATAACCCACCAAATCGGGTGCTATGGTAAGGTAAAAGTGAAAGGAATGTATACCGACTAAGAGATAAAGACTTTCAATTTCAAACTTTGAATTTCAATCTTCTCCACTTTCTTAAAATGTGGCACTGATCTGTTCTGTTCACTGGAATCTTCATTTATTTAGTATTTAAGTTAAGCAAAACAAGCACAACAACTTTTGTGGAGGGAAAAAAAATAACAAACAAATGAAAGAAATTTGGGGAAAAACAAGAACAAAATGTTCAACGACTGGGCTGGTAGCTCTTGCCTATTTTTTGGTTAAATATTTCATCGTGTTTGTTTTATGACTGAGTTACCTGAAGGAAAAACTACAGGAAAGGGTATGGGTTCGGTTATTATATTAAGGTCAATTAAACCTGCAGTGCTTATGTTTACTTTCTGATATATTATTATTTGATTATTCTCTTTTTAATCTGACAATGTTTGAGGATATACAAGCTATACACTATATGATATACGGTGGTGTCTATGATGAACCAAAAATCTGAAGACCGTCAAATTTTTATTTGGTTTAGTCTGGTTTTCAGTTTTAAAATGGCTGCTCAAATCAAAGACTTTCGTTTTCCCTCTGTTTTTGGTGTAACTGTGTTTAGTTTATGCAGACTCCTCTGTATTATATTTTATTGGTGTTCTTTATGTCAAACTTTCTATCATTCCTGGGGTAATATGAATGTGACATGTCTCATGGATCTGATAACCTTTTTGGCACAATAACTTGGTCCCACAGAAAGAACTTGGTTTAACAGAGATCTGTCTTCTCTATCAAGGGTTAACAACTGGTTAATTTTAAAGGTAAAACATGCTTTAAAGCTTCAAAACTTTTATGACCGTTTGAAGAATCTCATGCCCTTGATATTTCTTTTTAGTTCTTTGTGCGGGACACTCTTTTGCTATTAATTAAATAAGTGGTTGGAGGGTGTCACTGATAGGTCCTACTTCTTTACTTCCGTTCACCTCTGTTATTTCTCTCTGTCTGTCTGTCTGACCCTTTCCCGGTAGTAAATGACAATTATTTATTGTGTCAATGTGCTTCTCTAATG